GGGGAATGTAATGTGTGGGTAGATATGGTATAATTGAACTGCAGTCAGAGAGAGACGTATTGTTGAAGTTAACGTTCGTTGTTATAGCGTTTGTTTTAGCGCGAGTATTGAGATTAAGTGTATCGCAGAGTTATATTCGGAAAGAATAAACCAGTTTTATTAAGTAAAAACTTGTGTCGTTAAAGTTTCGTCGGAACGAAGTTACGGAAAGTTAATTAACAAACGGAGACGTAACATTATTATATTACATTTTTGTTCTATCGCTAAAGCACGAACATCTAATTAACTCAATATTGAGTTTGGTACTTGCTCCGATATCATGAAGAAAATTTCGATGAGCAAAATGGATAATTAGATTCGATTATCACAAATAAATTTAAGTTTTAAATTTATCTAGCTTTATTTTATTCTTAATATAATTTTTATTGTCTCTCAAAGCATAAAAAGACTTTTAGTTTCTGTAATCGGTATAGATGGCGCCACTATACTAGTGAGCATATAGTAAATATTAAAAGATTGTTCAACTGAAAACGTAAAATTTGTCTTTCTTTGGTTACGTTAACTGCTCTACAAAATGTTTACAGCCAGGTTACTCTTTAGCACTTGTATATAAATGAAATGAAATCTATACAACATTAAACCCTATAAATTGAACTACATTTTATAAAACTTTATTTAAGATTATTTCACAAAACATATTTTCAAAAGGCATTTATCCACTTACATTCTGGTCGCATTCCAACGTTGAGGCACTTTTTTAACCTACACTCTTGACACTTCCGTCTCATGTACATATCGATCTCGCAGTTGTTACCGTATTTGCATTGGTAAACGGCATTTCTGGTAATACTACGTCTGAAAAACCCTGACAAGAAAGAAAAAGTACATTTTGTACAAAAAGTATATTTTGCCAGTGAAAGTCATCTGGTTAACTAACTTATTAGAGCTACATTTCTAGTATCAGTCTTGTGAGATAATCTTATTCATTTGGCCTAAGTCAATGACTGAGGTCCACTGGAGAAGGTATCATGGTATTCCATGAGCATATTAACTAACTACTAGCACTGATCAGATGTAAGACCACATCTCTGGTCATATAACTCTTGTGAGTTGGTTTGTTTGTTTTGAATTTCGCGCAAAGCTACACGAGAGCTATCTGCGTTAGCCGTCCCTAATCTAGCAGTGTAAGACTAGAGGGAAGGGAGCTAGTCATCACCACCCACCGCCAACTCTTGGGCTACTCTTTTACCAACGAATAGTGGGATTGACCGTCACATTATAACGCCCCCACGGCTGAAAGGGCGAGAATGTTTGGTGTGACGGGATTTGAACCCGCGACCCTCAGATTGCGTGTCGAGCGCCCTAACCACCTGGCCATGCCGGGCTCTTGTGAGTTGGTAAGCTGTCCTTATGTAAAGGTTTGATGTCAAACTTCCTACATCTTTCCTCACCGGTGATTACTTCAGATGTTCCTCAATGTGAAATTACTACCTGTACGACTTAACATCCAAATTTGACTCAAATATTGTAGTTTGATTTACTCATGGCCCTAACGATGACACCAAATAAAAAGTACAAAATCGCTAGAAGAAAAAGTTGGGATCATCCATGTGAATATTGACCATGTCAAAAGTCCTAGTATAAAACGTTTACTAATTAATATAAATACACGTTTTGCTAAACCAGAAGCCTTTTGGAGCCTTTACTAGTTTAGAAGTGATAATCTAGAGGGAAAGTAGCTAGCAGTCATCAACATCACCCACCGGAAACTCTTGGCCCAGTTACTCTTTCACTAACGAAAAGTAGACTTGATCGTCACTTTATAATGCTCCCGAGGCTTGACTTGACTAAACGTTAACCCACCTAAATATGAAAATACATTATGGGTTTTATGGAAACAAAGAGGTCAGTGAACTCCCAAATATTATGAATATGTATTTTGATTGTATTGTTTACTGATTTTTTTTTGCTGTTAAAGCCCCAAGTAACAAGCACGTCAACTTCAAAGCATTATAAGATAGTTTGTAATTGCTAATTAAAATATTTAAATGAACTACATAGAATTCTCGGCTTGAAAATCTTTTTGTGGCAAGTTAAATGACCATATATAAAGTTGAATTCGTGTAATATATCCGAAATGTGAATTTCTTCAACTAAATAAGCTAATTATAAAGTGATATTGTAAATATTATGACTTTTTGTTCCTGCTATTCCCTAGCAGGACCATCACAACTAAGTTAAAAACAAACAATTGAAAAGGCTTCTTCTTCTTTTATTTTATGATTTAAATATGTTCGTATTTATTCTAGAAATATCATAACTTTTATCATTTAATTCTTTTTTTCTGGGTGGAATCTGTTTTTTTATTTTGTAGATTGGATAATCAACGAAATTTCTCATTTTGTTTGTTGTTAAGCGCATAGATATACAATGGGTTATATATGCTATGCCAATCATGGGTATCAAAACTTAATTTTTAGCGTTATACGCCCTCATACATACTTCTGAGCCACTGGGAAGGGGGCACAAAATTTCGTGATGACTGAGCAGTTAAACCAGAACAATGGGTTCTTTTTCTCTAGTCTGTGTTTATATAAGTTACCATACCTTTACACCCTTCACAGGTAAGGGCATTGTAATGATATCCCGAGGCTCTGTCTCCACACACCAAACATAGCTCCTCCTGTAGGCGAGGGACAGGTCCTTTGGTCTTCCTTTTCGTATCTGCGTATTTGTCAATAACGCAGCCATTGAGCCCACTGGTTGGAGGACTCAACTCTTCTTTCCCTGATTAAAAAAAAGTTCCAATTCAAAATTCCTAAACTGTATTTTAATTAACACTGAAAAGTTAAAAATTATAATGGTATAAAACTAAAAAATAACTAATTTTGTGATTCAAGAATAATATATAATAGATATATTCATTAATAAAACGCATCCTGTTTTTAAACTGAAATGCCCTTTTAGGTTAATAAAGTGCATTTCATTTAATTTTGTGTCTCTCTTCTACATTTTTTAATGTTTCAATTAAATATTCTGTGACCTTTTAAAAGACTAATAAAATTTTTAACCGAGAGAGAGAGCCACACCTCGAAAAAACCATGGACACTTTACGTAGCTTAAAAACTTTTATTATTAGGCCTAATAACTGCGATTAGAAGTACATTTGACCCCAGATTTGATATCTGCATTGTATTAATAGATAAAAATGTGGTAAAACATATTTGAAATCCGTAACAGACCAGTTAAGATGTATGTGTCCACGGCCAAACGTGATTCTAATTAGTTAATTTCACTATTTTGCCTAAAAGTGTTTCTACTACAAAATATGAAACTTTCCACCTTCTAAAGTAACGAATAAGAAAATTATCACTACGATTCGAAGTTTTTACACAATCGCTATTTCTCCGACTCGTGGTATAACTATAAGGTAAGCTTTTATTATTTAACATAGTTGAAATATTAATCAATGACACCTTAAAATTTTATGGTACGTCCAAAGATACAAAACACGATGACATTCGCGATACATTGAAATCATGTAATCTTTCATGTCAGCTATAAAAAAAAAGCAAACCATGAATAAAAACATTATTTTTTTTTTGCTCATATTTGACAATAAAGCCCACGAAATGATTTGTTTTTTACTGTAGTTTCAAGCTGTTCGACTTAATAAATTTGTCTTACTGTTCCTTTTTCAGAAAACAGCATAATGCACAACGAAGTTAAATAAGCTGATTATGTATTACTTACTAGTAAGTAGCAAATATGTCTGAGGGGGAAAAAAACCGTTACAGCTCTCACTTTTAAAATATGCCAGTGAAGCCCATGAGCTGCAGGGGGGCTGGGGCGGAGAAGGGGTAATGTTTTCATTTCAGTAAAACTGTTTTAGAGAAAGCGAAGGGAGAAGGTGAATAATTACTTTTCTTTCATTCCTTTTCGTAATCCCCATGTAGCTTCGAAGGGGGGGGGAGGGAATGGGAACCATTGAACTATGTCATGAATAAAGAGGAAAATATGTAAATTTATAAATCAGATTTATTTAAATACCTTTATCATGTAGTTATGGGCGAGAATTGAAAAATGTATACAAAAACCGAAATATATATATATATATCTTATTGAGAGATCACCATATTTGAAACTCTGAAATAACTTTCATTACACTTTAGCATTCCGCTGTAGTCCCCAAATATGATTTGATTTTAACAACTGAAAACTTTTACCCATGTGCACATTTTATCCTTCCTATAAACCCTGCATGGCCAGGTGGCTCGACTCGCATCCCCGTCACACCAAACATGCTCGCCCTTTCAGCCGTGGGGGTGTTATAATGTGACGGGCAATCCCACTATTAGTTGGCCTACTAAAAGAGTAGCCCAAGAGTTGGCGGTGGGTGGTGACAACTAGTTGTCTTTCCTCTAGTCTTACACTGCTAATTTAGGGACGGCTAGCGCAGATAGTCCTCAAGTAACTTTGCGCGAGATTCAAACCAAAACTCTACACTCTATTGTGTAGATGTAACACACGTTCTCCAATAGGTCTAACTTCTCACGAACTATGACTAACAGAACGTCTACTTATTTGATACTTTCGTACCTTTATTTCTTCGTCGAAACACAAACTCAATATTCAAATCATTAAATTAGCTAATTCTACACAGTTTAAACAGTATTATATTTCTCATAAATTGTCACAGATACGCCCCCACGGTAGGAATGGCTTAATGAATTTTCTTTGGTTAAAGGCGTGTTAGGGAGAGTTGAACAAGAAACAAAAAGGGCATATTATACTAAGGTTATGTTTTTCAAAGACGTGTACTTCTACGACAGTAGTTTAACAGCTAATGTGTTCCATAAGTAATGTATACAATATTGTTTATGTATCACTAGCAGATGGCCGTTGAAACAAATCAATGGCAATTTTCCTCAAAATAGTGATGAATGAATATAAAATGTGCAGTCAACCCAATCCCTTAGATCAGAGCGTATATGGAACATGATTGTCTAGTAGGCCGTTTACAACGTCTTTTAACATTTCATGTGCTAGTTTAATGAGGAAAATTGTATTGCGTTTGTTTTTAAGCAAAAGAGACTGACTGCAATGCATTGTTGGCAGAAATGTTTGGATTCGATGTAATGGGTGCATCCAGTACGATAGGGCGCTCGGCTTCGCTAAGTAGCCGCGGGGATTTTTTCCACTAGATGACACAGTTCATTGTCATTTTATTAAGCGCAAGAAAAGACCGCTACGAAGTAAGCGCTTTTTGATAGTTGACACTTCTTACAGAAGCATCAAATGAGAGATATTCAATTTAATTACAATCCATTATTTGCACTTGGTACAATAAAATCATGCATGTATATAATACCAACAAGACAATAGTAGATGTATTTCCGCAGAGTCCTCGAAAGTGTTCTGTTTACAAATATTTTTGTTTCTTGTTTTTGAAATTCATATGTCATGCTGTGTTGTAGCCTACAGAGTGCATAAATCTTCTCGTGATTCATGGCACGCGCACGCTTTACCGACGTCACGAAAATACAAATTGCAACGTTAAGCGTCCCTTATGTGACGTCATTTTAGTGTCTACTGACTGACACACAACACACTACTGTAAAGTTGTGCGAGTGGTTAAAACAGGTTGCTCCTCCAAGCGGCATTCGGCCCCCTTTCGGGAAAATAAACCTAACAACAACAAATATATATATATTCAAACACATTCCTCTCTTTATGCGTTTTTTTCGTTCATGCTTCCACCTTCGAAATATCAGTCGAAGGAAAAAGTCCAGTTTTCTTCGTGAAATTTCCTAACAAAAAAAAAATAAATAACAACAAAAAAAAGAAGTTTTGTTCTTAAGTTTTTTTCTTCTCAGATTGACTGTTCAGCACGTATGAAGACTGACGGATTGGTGGCGATATCGATAAGAAATTTTAGGAATTGCAGAGTTAGTTACATGGACATACAACAAACAGTACTATTATATATATATATATATATATAGACAGAGTGAGATTACTTTTATTGACAGTATCAGTCATACTATTCAGCTTATCGAATGTCATCAGTTTTTAATTTTGTTTATCATAACGATTGTTAGCTTAATCTGCATTTGGGACTAACCTAGATCTCACAAGTTCGCCGAACCTCTTGAGATATTAACAACAACGGTTCCCAACAATGTATTTTAATATTAAAAATAGATACACAAGAAGGGTATATTTAAATAGGATGTACTGATTGCCAGGTTGTTTTTTAGTTTCATTGTAATATACAGCTTGCTGGGATCCGAATTTAATATTAATAAGTGATTGACTGAAATCCCTCACTTAATAACTAACTGACTCGTTAAATAATTCACCCTAACCTGACGCGTTTTTGTATGTATATACGGCTCGTATTATTTTCTAATCTCCTATGGGAAAAGCTAGAGAGACATGGTAAGCAGTGGCGTGTCTGTGGTGGTGGTAGCATGGATGAGGATGTACATAGAAGTTGGTTGTTTGGGGCGCTTTTGCAGGGAGTGATCAACGATAGACCACACGCAGGGGCGGATTGGGGATTAAAAACAGCCCTCCAATGAAATCGGAGGCGTTGAATTCTTGAAACAACTAAGCTAGTTGCTGCATAGCCTATATGTACTAGTACTATTCGTACAGTTCACAAATTAAACCAAAATATACTGTACACGTTTTTCATTTATAATCCAACGTTTATTACATTTGTTTCCAGTCTTATGACCACAAAGTTATATAAGCTAAAACTAATTAACCCAAAAATAATTTGAAAAGTCTAATTGCCCATTTATAGCCCAACCACTGTGCAGCGCTATAAGCTGTTAACAGGAAATTTGGTACTGAATTTAAGTAGTTTTCAAAAGAAAAGAGAGAGAGAGAGAAGAATACCACAATTTTTTTCGATGAACCACTGACCCACCGGGAATTTTCCGTTGTTCCGACGGCCCAATCCGCCCCTAAAACACACGTACTTTATAAGGTTCATATCCGGTGGTTGACCTCTAATATATAGTGAACACGAGCAAACTTAGGATGTGTAGCGAACAAGAATCGAACACACAGAGTACCTACTGAACAAAAGCTAACCTGAAATATATATAAAAAAAGTGAAAACCCAGAACATAGAGTACCTACTGAACAAAAGCTAACCTGAAATATATATAAAAAAAAGTGAAAACCCAGAACATAAGTACCTACTGAACAAAAGCTAACCTGAAATATATAACAAAAAAGTGAAAACCCAGAATATACAAGTGAACAAGAGCAAAACTAGAAATAATATATATTAAACAAGTACAAACCCAAGATACATGGAAAACACGAAAAAAATATAATAATTTAAAATCGGGATAATGTAAATAGTATATTAATTATGACTTCAACTATTAAAGATCCCTTTTCTGTCAGTTAGATTTAACGTTTCGAAACATATGGATACATATTGAAATAAAAAAAATTCTAAAAATTTGTTTTTTGTTTGAAGTTAAGCTCAAAGCTATATAATGGGCTATCCACCACGGGTATCGAAACCCGGTTTCTAGCGTTGTAAGTCCGCAGACACACCGCTGTGCCACTGGGGGAGGGGGGGGAGGGGGCATATTTTAAAAAAGTAAAAGGAATGTATTTAAACATTAATAAAATTCTAGTTGCTTAAACTAATATTAGTTTTAGTTTGATGGTTATTTCTCTGATTATGTCATCTTCTGGCTGACCTAGTGGCGTATTATTATTTTTTTTCTTTGGATATCTAAGATCTAAATACTTTCTTT